TTAAAAAAATAAAAAATAAGAAATAAACTGTCTGTGACAGTCCTTGGCCATGTAGTTGTTAGGGTAGCCACAGTGTATACCAGATAAACAGTTAAAATTATGTTTGATATAAATCACGATCTGAAGAATGTGTGCAAATTCAATTTAGGGAAAAATAAATAAATAAATAAAAGAGAGAATGGTTTTCATGTTTAGCAGCCAGAAAAAAATACATTTTGAGCTGCGCAAATCCACTGCCAGATGTAAGGCTAACTATTGGCTGAACACTGACCATGTGTTTGAGCCATGCAGATCTGAAAACCCCTCCCAGAGCCAGATCTGCATTGCAGTGAAGGAAAGAACAAGATTTATTTCCCCTGCCTTACTCTCTTGCACAGCTACATAGGCAAACAGGAAATCCATCTGCAGTTCCTCCCCTTAATAAAACATGTCCAATAATAATTGTTTAGCAGTACAACTACTGCTAACTAGTGTTTTCCAAATCATAGGAACAAAGAATGAACACTAAGGTCAAGTAAAATTATATACTACTTTCAAGAATTTTGGTCTCAAGAACAGCGGATATTACCTGCTATGTTCTTCATTTTTCTCCTTCCTCTATAAGACTTTTTCTTTCTGTAAAGAAAGCATGTACTCTTATTAAAATTCTTTCTAGATAGCTTGTATTTCTTACGTTTATGCATGCTGTGATTTTATTACATGTATTTATACCTCAAACACAGCATATTCATTTTTATTTTAACTGGAGTTTTCAACATGTAGGTGGCTATTACAACAGGATTAAAGCTGTTGAAAAAATGGCATTTTTTCCCCTAATACATATGCTTCTTTCTGTTTGATCTAGATTTAAAGAAAATATGTTTGCTAACACAAGAAGCCTAGCATAAACAAAGCATGTTCCTTTTAAGAGAGCCCTAAATTTACTCTAGAGCCTAGAGTAAATCAAGCATCAAGACGATGTTAGACATACATTATTTTATTGCAAGTAAGCTTCATAAATGTGATCGTTGTCACTTTAACATAACACCCTTACACTTTGTCTAGAGCATAATTGTGCTAGTAACAAAATTCCTAAGATCCAGACCATAAATGTAAATGAAATGTGCACAAAGTTACAGAGCCGGCCATGTTAAAATGGCATCTCAGTGGTCTTTCCTTCCCTGCTAGAAGTTTTATGTTTTGGTTAGTCCTCATTATCATTCCCAATAATAATTCTTATTTAATTTATGTCAGAAGGTTTCTAACAAATAAAATTTTAAGAAGAACTGAGATAAAAAAATAGACAAAGCAGTTTATGGAATGAAAGAATCTAAATACATTCAGATTTAATTAGAACCCAAAGAATGGAAAAACAATTGGGGGAAAAAATCTTTAGGACTGTATTAATTTCTACAGCAATCCCAAATGCAGGATTATTTTCCGTGCTACGTATCTGGCCCACATATAAAATATTCAAAAGAACAAGCATTTTATAATAAGATACAATTTGTAGAAAAAAATTAATGCCACGTCCCTAAATAAAATCAAAATATACAAAGGGAAAGCAGTTTAGAAGTATTTCTAATTGAGGTTGTTGCTAATCGATCTGTCTCAATTCCTAGATCACAGCTCTAAGGTGTAACTCTTGAGGAATATGTCATGCAAAAACGACCTAAGTTCTCTGGCAGATGGAGTCTAATGGATTTAGTTGCAAGAGTTCGGTGTTATTTCCCCAATTGTTTGCTTGAGATTATTAAGCCTGTATTAGTCTGGTGGACCATCATGTGTGTTTTTCCTTCAGAAATGATGTCAATAGCCTGTCATGTATGTCATGTAGCCTGTGCTGCATACGAGCACAGGAACTGCCAACCTGTTATCAGAATTTACATGAATATATTATCCCGTCTTTGTTCAGTGAAGCTCAGCAATTTAAATGAAGCGCAGAGGTGAAAACAATTGTTTCTAAATGAAGAAGGTAACAGAAGCTGCAGTTGCTTGCACACTACTACACTACACGCATCTACAGTAACACCTATGTTTGAATATACTGTATTTCTAAAACCCAGAAAAAAAATGGAAAAAAAGAATAGAATAGAATAGAATAGAATAGAATAGAATAGAATAGAATAGAATAGAATAGAATAGAATAGAATAGAATAGAATAGAATAGAATAGAATAGAATAGAATAGAATAGAATAGAATAGAATAGAATGATAAATGATCTTTTGTCCTGAAAATCACTTGAACATTTTAGTATACAGCATGCAGGCCTTCTGAGCAAAATTGCAGTTGTGTCCTTTTCAACATAGGAAATTTACATATATTTAGACCAACTACATTTACAAAACCACCATCACAATACAATAATTTAATTAATAATAAGTCACTTTGTTTCTGCAATCTAAGAGGCTTATGAAAAACATACTTGGTTCACTGAATGGATTCTATTAACATTACTATTCTGGAGACTAGAACTCAAGATCAATTTCATAGTCACATTCATAATCTCTGTGTAACAATAAAAACAAACAAACAAACAAAAGAAAACCTTTGGACAATTTCACCAATAATATTTCTTTACACAAAGAATCTTTTCACAATCTAAAACCATGTAAGAGCCAAACAAAAATAAATAATTAAACAAACAATTAAAAGAGCAGGATGAAGACTGAAATTTCAGCCATGAAAATGTATGAAAGTTAAAGGCCTTTGTCACATTTTTTGAACCAGGTACAATCTACTGTTCCTATGGCTTACAAAGAGTAGATTACAAAGAGTACATTCGCAAACACTGCTAGAAAATAAATAAATAAATAATCACATCAATCATCTGCACAGATAACCAACGCTAGGTCTGCTACATAATGTGAAACTATATATAATGATGAAACTACATCAGCCAGAATAGATAGCAGTGTATTAAATGCCACATTTTCTCTGAAGGAATTGTGTGATCCAAGATATGAAGCAATATTATTTTGGGTACCAACCAACTTCAAAACACTTTACCAGCATAAAATTGTTCGCCTGAAATCAAAAGTACAATTTTTTGTCTAAAACCTCAGACTTGTTTGTGGACAATTTTCATAAGCAACTGTGACTCTGTAAAATAAGCAACTCCTTCATGTATTGGTTTGCCTTTTATGCTAGTGTAGCTAGCACAATATTATAAAATGATTACATTATATACAGTTGATTACACACGGGGAAGGACGATCATGAACCGAAACTATAGAATTCAAATGGGATCTCCCTATGGCTGTGCAACCAAATCAGACTACAAGACAGTCAGCCTCCATGACTGATACGTAAGCGGTAAACGAGTAACATCAGACTAATGAAGGTCTTCTTCAAATTGTGAGGCAAGTCGAGTATAAACTAACAAGAATCTTTGCAACTGACAAGTATTTTAAGACACATATTGCCAGCGCTGTTGTCTGTCTCACAGTAATCAAGGCCAAGAGAACAAGGAACATAAGTGACACATACATGAATAATTTTATTTGAAATAAAAAGTTAAACTGCACATTACACTTGGGAAGAAGAGAAGAGGATGAGAAATTGATGGTTTTACTTGTACCACAAAGATGATCTGGAGGTTGCTAAGATTTCCATGCAATGTTACTTTGTAAGAAGTCACCCATCTTCCGACAGATTTAATTCTTCAAAAACTTATTGCAACTGAGGTATGCTATAGTAGAAAGAACATTTCTAAACCTATTGTAAATATCTCTACATATTTAAAAAATCTTTTTAGAGAAGTTAAACAGGTTTCAACACTGTTGCATAAGTCAAAATAAAGGTGCTAACTTGAAAACTCCAAGACTGCATTCTCCAATTTTTCTTTGTAGTAAATGCAGGTTAACGACACAGAGACATGAAACTGCAGCTAATAGTGAACTTCCAGTGATTTATAACCCTTTCAGTCTAGTGCTTCATATGGGGGTACCCACCTAGGGGCCTTTTCCGTGAAACCACATCAGTTAGTGTACTGATCTGTGATGCACAAAGATTCTTTTTTTTTTTTTCTTTTTTTTTTTTTTTTTTTGGTATGTGTGTGTGTTTTAATGGGTTAAGTGCCAAAAGCTGGGTTAGGTCATTGTTCTGAAACAGTTGCTGAAACCGTGAGAGGATAGGCACAAACGAGACCAAAGAGGGTACATTTTTATGCCTTTGTTTTCCTCGTGTCACTTTCCAGATACGGAAAAAATGCTTATGTTTGGGCTTAACTCTTTACTCTTGTTTTATTCTCCATCAAATTGTTGAAGAAATCCCCTTCTTTTCACCTCCGTTAGTTTGTGGTGACAAAACCCACTAAAAGATACCGGCGATGCCCCTGCCCGCGGAGCTACAGAGATTACTTGCGGTCCTCGATGCGACATAACCCACGCTAACCTAGCCCCGCTTCCCAAGGGCTCTGCACAGCCATCTTCCCACAGCACCCCCAGGACAAAAGCGACGCCAGGAGACACAAAGCCTCCCCCGGCGGGCTGGGGGCCCCTCACGGCGTCCCGGAGTCTGGCGGGGAGGCACGCCTGGGGCGCCCCGTCAGCACCGCGCCCCCCCCCTCTTTTTTTTTTTTTTTTTTTCTTTTTTTAATCTTTTCCCTGGCGTTAAGCTCTGCGAGCCGCCTCCCTCCCTCCCTCCCTCAGGGACGGCGCCGCGACGCCCCTCCCTCACGGGCGCCTCTCTCCCGAGGCGGGGGGAGGGAGGGGCAGGGGAAGGCCGGGGGGAGGCTGTCGGGGCCGCCCTTACGTGAGGGGAAGAGGCGGTGCTCGGGCGGGCGTCGCCAGTAACGGCTGCGCGCCGGCATCTCCACCCCCTCAGCGGGCGGCGGTGAGTGCGCCAGGCCGGCTGCCGGCGTGGGACCGAGGAGAGGGCGGGCAGGCACTCGGGCGGACGCTGGCACGGTTATAGCTTTTCTTATCTCGCCTCTCCTCCCCCATCCCCACCTTTCCTCCGCGGCTGATCCTCGCTCTCCGCTTTCCCCCCCTCACGCGCTCTCCTCACGGCCGTTACGGCGGGAACGGGGCTAATGGCGCGGGCGGGGGGAGGGGAGGAGCGGCGGGAAAAAAGAAGCGGCAACGGCCGCGGCGCGCGCTGCTGCCAGCCCTGCACCCCCCCCTCCTTCCCCCCCCTGTGCATTCAGCCCCTCTCCGCCCTGGTGGCGCGGAGCCCCGAGCCCGCCTTCCCGCCACGTGACCCCCCCCTTTCGCTCGGCTCCATATTGGCGCTGGCGGGTGCGTGCACAAAATGGAGGTAACCGCAGGCGGGCCGCACAGCCGCAGCCCGCTCTGCAGCAGCAGCGGTGGTGGTGGCGGTGCACCGAGGCTGCAGCACCGCGCCTGGGCGGGAAGGCGGGAGCGGGAGAGCTGGGGGGGGGGGGTGTTGCTGCACGCCGCGCTGCAGAGCGGGCTCGCGTAATGGCGGCCGCGCCGCGCTCCTCGCCGCCTCCCTGCGGCGTGGCGCGGGCAGGAAGGGAGGGGGAGCGGGGGGGGGAGGCCGCGCTTCCGCCGCGAGGCCCCGCGGGCGCCGAGGCTGCGGCCGCCATTTCGTGCGCAGCTGGAGGGGGGGGGGGGCGCTGGGCGCCGTGCCCCGTTGCACGTAGCGGCGCTGCCGCCAGCACCTGTGGGGCCCCTCACGGCCGGCAGCGGGGCGAGGCAGCCCGGATGGTTTCCCGCTGCCACGCCCGCAGCCGCACCGTGCGCGGGGGGCTCGGCGATGTCCCCGCGGCCCTGGGGGGAAGCACAAAGGAGCGGCCCCGCGCGCAGGCCTCGCCTCAGAGCTTCCCCAGCGGGAACCGAGCCAAAATCAGATCCAGGCTGGGGCAATCGGCTGTGCCCTACCCGGGGAGAAATGCTGCAGCCACATCCCCCTCTTGCTTTCTTTCCCTCTCCTCTCAAAACCTCTTTTTTTTTTTTTTTTTTTTTTTTTAAGCATTTCAAAGTAAGTTGAAATGCTCAAAGTCTGGTGAGTAAAAACGGTGCGGTGTTCTTCCTGGGTTTTGTGACCCGTCCTCAGGCCTTGTAGGACTGAGAGTAGAGACGTGACCGCTCACACTAGTTTCTGTTCCATTAAAAGTCGAGAAGAAACTGGATCCCTGAGCAAAACAGCTAAAAATAGCTCAGTTTTCCACGTAAGCAATTGTCTTAGTTGCTTCAGGGTTGTTGAACACTGACAAACTGGAGGGAGGATGAATTCAAAGCATTTGAACGTGCTTCAGTCAAGTTTGGTAACCCATCACATAAGTTACTAAGCTAATATATTGTTTTTTCTTCCCAGGAAATGTTCCTGTTGGTGTTGGGAATAAACTGCAAATGCACTTAGAGCTGAAAACCTATTATTTTGGCGCTTTAAATCTTACATTTGGCAAGATAAGCTATATGCACATTAGGTCCAACTTTGTCTTTTTACAGAAAAGATCAATACATCTCCAGAGTATTCTCTGAATGGACAAGTAAATTTCCATCTTGGGAATGTCAGTTTCCCCTCAACCAGCACTTCTTGTCTCTCTAAGAGACAGGGTAGCATTGTAGTAACTAGGTAGTTCCTGGGAACTTTCTGTCCATTACAGCCAACAAATTTTTCTGATTGCTTTCATTTCTGTCATTTAAGTTGCAATATACAACTGCTTCAATGCTAGTTAACTTCAATTGATATTTGAATATTTTAAATCAAAGCGAAAAACAATATGTTGTGGATAAAAATCATAAAAATGCTGGTATTTACAGTCGTTTAAGCTTCCTGCGAAACAAAGTAGGAACAAAGCTGCACAGGGCTGTGTACTGCTTTAGCTGATGGTACTCACCAGTAATGAAACAGCTCTTTTTTGTGCATCATGGCCTTCAGATGCCATCGTGGCAGAGACCATGCCTACAAGCTTTATGGTGGCCAGTATGGAGCCCCACTGGGGAAAGCAGCAGGTGATGAAATCAGAGAGTGTTTGCATACTTTTCATTACTTAAAAAAGGGTATCTAGGCCTAGCCCTTCCCCCCCTAATAATTCCAAAAGATTTATTTCACCATACAGCAACATTTTTTTTTAAAGCCCTTGACTGCTGTGTGATTTGAGGAAGTGAGCAGTTCAGGAGGTATTAGGATACTAAGTCCTTCAGCTAAGTCAACCTAAGTTTTATTTGAAGGATTTCAAGAGCAGGTTAATACGGCATAGAGAAGAACTGAAGATAATACAAATACCTTAACATTAGTTCATAAAACCTTTAAGATTCTTAACACCTTCAATCATGATACTCATGATGTCACAGCTCTTTAATATGAAGGTCTTAATTTGAACCTTAATTTGAATTTAAACATGGAATTATATTATTTAACTTTGAATAAATGAGTCACACTACCTGTCTTTGCCTATGCAATAAAACTTCAAAAACAAAAAATTAAAAACAATACACTTAATCTTGTAAATATCAATTATTTTAATGCAGTACAAATGCAATTTTACAGTACCATATTATTTAGCTGACTACTTTCACTACTGTAATGATTTTCAAGAAACACATGAACTAATAGTGAATTGTTTCCATAGATAGTAATACAACATAATAAGGAATCACGTAACAATGTTTTTAGGAAACTTGATTTAAAAAAAAAAAGAAGTGAAAGCAAATATTTTTTTTGTTTGTTTGAATGCTTATATATGGATGCATTGACTGAGTTTATCTTGTGAAATACTTCTTATAACTTCATAAATATTCATTAATAAAAATTGGGCACGTAAATAGAGTACAAAGTAGTAATGGAATAAATAATTTGCAAGGAAAAGTAAGACAAATGACCAGTGCTACAGATTGCTAGGGTTCAAGTGTTAAAATTTCTAGTTAGGCAAGAACGGAATCACTAAAGGGTCCTTCCACTGGTGTTAGTAAAAATATTTTTCAGTGCAGAAAACATTTCACATCCTATAATATTCCAGTTTGTAGGCTGCTGGATTACTGGTTTCAGTAGGTTACACATAAACATTTTGCAAATAATGCTTATTAAAATTACCTTTTTTGCAAAAATTTTGGATTTTAAATCTGGAGAAGTAGAATTTGATTTTTTTCTTATTATGTACAGATCGTATTCATGATAGTTACATGACAGGCAATATTTGGAATAAGTTGCTCTGCAGATTATAATTTAAGATTGTACCAAGTTATTCCAACACTTTGACCTGGTAGCAGATGTTCTTTTTGTGCAGCAACTCTTGGGCAAAATAGGCTGAGGATTTTTACCCTTTGGAATACTTTTTTTTTTTTTTTTTAATACTTTCATTGCTCCTTTCCCCTTCTGTAAAGCCACACCTGTGCATTGCAGCCAGAGAAAGGCCCTACTTCATAGGAATTGGGGTAAGTACTGACTTATCCAACCTGTTTTCTAGGTTTCCTAAATCTAAAAGAAAGGCCGAGTTAGAGTACCCTTCCAAAATGGCTGCTATTAAGGAAGAGAGAGAGGTGGAAGACTACAAGAGAAAAGGAAGACGATCCTCACAGGTGAGATAATTGCTTTTTTTAATGAAAAGTAGCTTTAAGGGGAAGAGATTAATAAAAATAGTAATACTTAATTGTTTCTATCTGATGCATTAATTCAGAACTTTTTTTTTCTACCTTCTTCATCCCCATAGTAGCAGAATAACTTTAAAGTGCTGTATAGTAGTTACAATTTTAAGGGGTGGGATGTTAAGTATAGTGGGGAAACTTTGCTTGCATAGTTTTCTGTTATAACTAAATGTGTAAATGTATGTTTGTGACTAAAGGTGTAATTATTTTTCTTTTAAAGAAATAGATGCATCCTCAGAATATTGGCAGGAACTCGATTCTTTCCTATTTTCACAATCTTTTTTTTAGTGGGAATGAAGACAGGTTCTTTTTTAATAAAAAATGGTTGCCTAATAGTCACTGCAAATGAAAGCGAGGCTGTACTAAGTAAAAATAACTGTTTTCTTTTGCTTCTAGCAGAAATACCGTAGACTGAATAAGGTGCGTAGTATAGAGAAGATGGTGGGGCTGTTCTGGGAGGATGGGAGCTAGTTACTTTGGGGCAGGGTGTGGAAGTGGGAGGGGGGAAAAGTCTTGATACCCTTCAGAGTATAAACTCAATTTTAAGATTAGCAAAGAGGGTATTAACTATGCTTGTATGCCTTGTAATTGAGACACTGTCTTATTGTATACTTTATTTGCTATCTAACGTTACTTTTCCAGGATGCCTGAATATTTTAGCTATTTAAGCCCATCTTTCTCTGGCGATCATACACAGCTGCAGTGCCAGAGCCTTAGAGCTAAGAACAAACCTTTTCTTGAGTTGCATGTATCCAGTAGCTTATGGTTACTTTGTATTGAAGAAATGCCTGTAAAGTCCTCTTGAAAACGAATGTTTCAACCCTTTCTCTGCCCTTGGACTTCGGCTAGAATGTAACTGGGGTTCCTCAGCTGCTGCAAAATGAGCTTTTGTAGTTTACTGAAGTAGCTTGGCCTGGAATCCACATAAATGCTATTAAGTTTCTAGAGAATATTTCACAGAGAAAGTTGATTAACCCCAGTTGTCTGCAAGCTTTTGAGCTCCAGAAGTCAGTCTAGGGTTTAGCTGCCCATAAACTTAGCCACAGTGACAGGCGTTTTGGGATTAGCTTGTTCCTAAAGATACAGTGCATGGCAGGACTTCATGTCAAAATAGGGCCTTCAGAGAGAAATGCTGCAACTTCAAAATGCTGATCATGCAAAACCCCTGCCACATGAAGGTGGAGTTTCTTGCAAACTCTGAATAAAGGCAGTGTGTATCTGCAGCAGTATTGTCAAAAAGACCTGATTTTTGCCCAGACTGTGATTTTTATGGGAATCACATGCGAGTGCTAGCTGCCTTTTTTTCCTCCTCTTCTAAGAGAGGTACAGGCAGACTAAACGGAGCATTCGGGGTTTTAGGTAGGATATAGAAGCCTGTAGTCTGATTTCGATTGTGAGAAAGGGTGGTGCAGAGAGAACGAGGCGCAGCCCCAAGATGCCGGCCTTGCAGCTGGCCGTAATGTGGCCCCCCCCACCCCGCCCCATCAGGCCAGGCGGGGGCTGCAGGGCTGCTCCTGCGGCGCCACTGCGGCGCTGGGTCATGGCCAGGGGCTGCTGGTGTGCGCGATCCCGCTCTGCCGTGGCCCCACCCCTCCGGCTCCATATTGAGTGTGGAGGAGACGAGATCGGATCGCTCACAAAATGGAGGCGGTCTGTGCCGCGCGGGGCTTTGGCTTCAGAAGGAAGTAGCTAGCCACGGCAGGAAGAAAAGCTCCCCGCCTCCGCAGAACCTATTAATACATTTGGGAAAGCATTTAAAATGCTTGAGGGGAGGAACGTAGTCTCCCTCCAGCTTGCTGGCTGCAAGCAGGCAGGGAATTACTGACTAGCTTCTCCTCCCTACCCCCCCGGCCCCGGATGGAGCGTTGCAAAATGGCGTGCTGGCCCCCAGCCTCGAGTGGGAGGGAGCCTGCTGATCCTGCTGAGGCAGTGTCGTAGTTAGGCTAGGGAAAGGAAAAGCCATCGTGCTGTGCAGGGCTTGCTGCACAGGAAAGGCTGTTGCTGTAACTAGTTTGCAGCGGAAGGATTGAGAAACAGCATCCTGTGTGACAGAAGAGCACTCTGAAAACCCTAGAGATGCTTATCCCCAGCGAGAACAAAATGCTTGAAAAATAACTTGTTCCTAACAAAGTACCACCTTCTGTTTGTCTGGAGAATTCCTGTAACATAGATGTGTTCTGAGGATAATCATTTCTGATGGAAGAGAGAAGTTGTAACATTAAGTGTTTTTCTTATATGAGAACTGAACTTTGTGTGCGTGTAATAAAATAAGTGCAGAAGGACTTCTCTTTTCCTTTCAGGAGTGACCTGAAGAGTTCTGGGGTCATTCTTTAAATGGAAATTCAGTCTGACTTGCTAATTGACAATGCCACAGGCTTAAGGAGCGTTAGAGAGCAATAAAAAGATTTTTTTTCTTTGGTTTCTGGTTTTGGAGAAGTCTAAATTCAATAATAATAGTAAAGTCAGAATAGATTCCTTTGATTTAGAATAGGAGAGTTTAAAAGAGTCAGCATTCCCAGCTTTAACATAACCAGCTAAAAAGTAAGTAGTGTAAGTAAATTTAAAAACAAAAAAAAAAAGTTAGCAACAGAAAATAATATTTCACTGAACCTAAAGCAGTTTCTATATACAGTAAGTGTATTAACCCTTTAAAATTTTAAGTTTACATGTAATTAAAAAGGAGATTTTTTAATAATACTTCTGTAGTTCAGACCATTTAGGAGACCACGGAAAAGAAGTTTTATTTTAGTCATGCCATTGACTATCAGATAATCCTGTAGTAATGCAGTTAGTGCCTTAAATAAAAAATTGTTACTAGAAGTGCTGGGGCTAGCTCTTGCTCAGTTTAGAAGGTATAAATAAGAGCGAGGATTTGTCCCAGCCAACTTTTCATAATCCTAGGCATTGTTTCCTGTAGTTCAACCCAGAAGTTATAAATCAGTGGGTATCTAAAGCAGCATATAATTCCAAAATTTTCTTTTATCATGTATCACATCACAGTATTTATTGCTCTGTAGGGTGGTTGTGTAGTACTCAAAGGGATATACACTTTCCTGACCAACACTAGCACTACCACCACATTTATTTAAACTTGTAGAACCTAAAGCACTTCACCTGCAGGCTTGAAGCAAGGCATCTATATGTAGAAGTCTGCAGCTGGTTTTATGTAGCTCAGCTCTAAGGTTTGTGCTTCTTAACACAGCACAGCAGAAACAGTGAAGCCTGTTCATTCCTGCAGCAGAATTGAAGTCATATGTGACGTAGCTGGCCAGCACTTTGTTGCAGGATGTCTTACACTCACAAAAGTACCAGATTGTAAAATAAGATCTTAATATGATTGCTTGTTAGAAGAAGACTCCCCTCCCTTGGGGATGGGAGAATGTTGTAAAATGATTTTTGGCAAGGTCCTTTCACATGCACACTAAATAAAATATGTAACAGAGTAGAAACACTAATGCATTTTTAAGCCCACTTTATTTGTTCTGTAAAGATACCTTTTTGATATTGTGAAGAGCTTCAATTAAACTGAAGTTTTAAGTTTGCTTGTTAAGTTACAAGTCTTATTCTAGTAGTTATCCCTATTCCTGGTCATTGATTAGTCATCATTCAAGATATTTTTTCTGTAAGACATAAATCCTTCTTAATTCAGATGTAAGAGGTACTGTCCACAACACTGAAAACCAGATTGGTACTTCTACTTTCTTGATTATGTGTGCTTAACTTACAAATTTATCCAAGTACAAATTTGCATTATCAAATAATTTGGAACTTATACATTTTCTTTAAAATGCATAAAAATAAACTTTTAAAATAGTTTTAAATCAGATAGTCCAAAAGACTTAAGTGCTTGATTTGGTCAGTAACCTTTTTTTTGCTATTTGCACACTATGCTCCTAATTTTTTGATTGTTCCTTATGATTGTGCTTCGCGAAGTGTTAGAACTTCCTTTTATCTAGCAGTGCTTCATTGCTAATCCCTACAGAGCAATATGCAACTCGAACAAAATGAGCATAAAACAAATGCACTTCTTGGAGAGGAGGAAAGTAAGCAACCAAACTATTTAGTATATTGAAATCTCTTTACTGTTGTTTGCATTTGAGCATTCTTAAGTTGTTAGTTAGTTACTGTTTAATTAAAATCACACCTCATTAATTGTTAAGCTTATTATGCTGCTGTCTACAACCATTAGAAGACACTGTTTTTATGTAAATGTGTTCCACCTATTTGTAGTTATGTGCACAGATAAGCTTTAGTAAATCTGTGAAATGTTAATTCTGTGGTTTGTATTCAAAATATGTATTTGATTTTTGATTTTGTAGGGCCATGAGCCTAAGGAGCCAGAGCAGTTGAGAAAGCTGTTCATTGGAGGTCTGAGCTTTGAAACAACAGATGATAGCTTGAGAGAACACTTTGAAAAATGGGGCACGCTCACGGACTGTGTGGTAAAGTGTCCAAAATTAGTTTGTGCTTTTGAAAAGATATGGGTACTTAATCTAGTACAGAAATGCAGAGTGCCCCGTGTATTTTTTTTTTAGGTGATGAGAGACCCACAAACAAAACGTTCCAGAGGCTTTGGCTTTGTGACTTACTCTTGTGTGGAAGAGGTGGATGCTGCCATGAGTGCTCGACCACATAAGGTTGATGGACGCGTGGTTGAACCAAAGAGAGCAGTTTCAAGGGAGGTAAGTTAGGGTTATAGTTAAGCTTATTTCTTAATTTCTACCTAATTATTTAAAATGCTGAATATAATTTTTGGTGTTGCAGGATTCTGTAAAGCCTGGAGCGCATCTCACAGTAAAGAAAATATTTGTTGGTGGAATTAAAGAAGATACAGAAGAATATAACTTAAGGGAGTACTTTGAAAAATATGGGAAGATTGAAACCATAGAAGTCATGGAAGACAGGCAAAGTGGAAAGAAAAGAGGATTCGCTTTTGTAACTTTCGATGATCATGATACAGTTGATAAAATTGTTGGTATGTAATTCTTTAATGAGAAATGACTTGTAGGATAAAAGTGTAACTTGAGCTTTCAGAAAAGTAATGCGAGCAATATAAGATGTCGGCATGATGAGCTATTTGACTGTTAAGAGCAATGAATGGGGTGGCTTTAATATTCCTTTGAAAACTGGGGTCATGCCTTACAGTAGCTTTCTATGAAAGTTGTACAGCATATTGCTTTCAATTATTTGAATTTCTAATGCTGTCCTTTTTCTCAATTTTTCTCTAGTTCAGAAATACCATACTATAAATGGACATAACTGTGAAGTGAAAAAAGCACTCTCAAAACAAGAGATGCAGACTGCTAGCTCTCAGAGAGGTAAGTTTAGAGTTAGGCAGGGTTATGTTACATAACTGGTTTTCATTTAATGTAATTTAAGCAAAATATTTTGTAGGTCGCGGGGGTGGCTCAGGCAATTTCATGGGTCGTGGAAACTTTGGAGGCGGTGGAGGAAACTTTGGCCGAGGAGGAAACTTTGGTGGAAGAGGTAAATGACTAGAATGTTTCTGTAGAACATAACTTCCACATTTGCTGAGTCTTTTTTTCTTGAACACGTGCTAAGTGTTTAAGCCAACAATCTCATCTGTTTTGTGTTCCAGGCGGCTATGGGGGTGGTGGTGGCGGTGGTGGGAGCAGAGGAAGCTTTGGGGGTGGTGACGGATACAATGGATTTGGTGATGGTAAGTGTATTGCTCCTTCTCCCTGCTTCATGCCAGCATATCCAACTCTGAAGTCTTACCTCCACCTTGGACACCAACTCTACTTTAGTGATAGTATACGTTGTAGTGCTGTGAAGAGTTGAGGTTTTTGTTTTCCCTACAAAATCATGGGTGGAAAAAATACTCCCCTATATTTACCTTTTGACTTCATGTCATGAGGTCATGTAGCAATTGTTTGGCATTGAGAAAATTGAAGATACTGGTGTCAGCTGAGATTACTAAAACTAAACAAAGCAGTGACCACCTGGCATACCAGAAGTCTTTTCAGTCAACTCTAAGACTTGTTCATTACTATCTTGTCATGATCGAGTTGATGTGAGTATTCAAAATCCACCTGAAGAGAAGTGTGGAAACTGCCAAACAGCTGTGATAGCAGCATTTTTGTGTGGGGGGGGGGAAATAAGGGAAGCAGCGAGTAGTTGTTTGTCCTGATTCTGTAAGGAGATACACATAGTCATCCTGAGTTCTTTGGGACTGTTTCCTAGTTCACAAGTACTCCATTGATATATCTGAGAAAAAGTCAACATCTGGAATATTAAGTCTTGGGTACTCTTGGTGGCTTGGGAAAAAAAGCAATCTGGTAGCTTAGACACAAGTGTAAATAAAATTGTATGTCTGGATAAAAAATACAAACCAGAATTATTTTGAGATCTTTGTCTACTGAGTAATTTTAGTTCAGAGGATTAAAGAGGATGGTTCACAGTAGTGACAGCCACTTGCACGAAGAGGTGGCTGTTACATGTTGTATATCTATGTACTGTGCATGAGCTAGGAAACTTCAAGTATTATGCTTCGAGAGTAGACATAAGCTAATGCTTTTTTGTTTGTTTGGATTAAACAGTTTAGGTAAATGGTGCAAACACAATGGATACACAGTAGGGGAAACACTGGGACATTTTTGTGTGCTTGTGTTTTTGTTATGTGTGTGTGTTAATGGTCTTTTTTTAACCAGTATTTAGCTTTGATGTGCTTAGTTTGAATTTTTTTATATTCAAAGGTGGCAACTATGGAGGTGGTCCTGGGTATGGCAGCAGAGGAGGTTATGGTGGTGGTGGAGGACCAGGATATGGAAACCCAGGTGGTGGATATGGAGGTGGAGGAGGAGGATATGATGGCTACAACGAAGGAGGAAATTTTGGAGGTGGTAAGATGACAGCTGTAATTAGCCAAAACTCTTTTAGTCAGGTTTGAGTAGTACAGTGGCTGAAGTATGGTGCTGCATGAGATGAGTTGTACAATTAGGTGCTAATGTAGATTAGTGTGTTAAACAAGGAAAATTCTCGTCCATCTGGGTCAGCTTTGCTTAAACTATAGAATATTACTTTGCCTGTAACTTATTTTTCTAAAAGCAGCTGCTGTAAACCTGTGTGGAAGTAGAGTAGAAGAATTTAAATTTTGACCACTTGAAATATGGTGGTGTTGTTGGGTATCTGTTCACACCGCGTAGGTCATGTCCTTCATGAGGATTAGATGTCTAAAGTTACGCTTTTTATTGTTTGATTGTTAAACAAGGTACTCTGGTTAATTTTTTTCATAAGAGTGGTTCTTTTGCCAGTTACACATTCTAATTGGAGTGACTGTATGCCATTTCATTACAGTACTCTTTTACAGTGTTAATTAGTGTAAACCCTCAATGAGTAGATACTATCAAGGAAGACATTAAACAAAATCAAAATAAATCTAGCTGTGTGCTGCTAAACGATCGGTTTAGCCATGTTCCTGTTTTGTGTTATCAGTGTTAATTTCCTTACAGGAGTTTCTGAATGCTAAGGTTATTTTTTTAGACCTGTTGTAACTTCTTTAGAGACCTTTAATGGCAGATGTTTCCGATTAGAATGTACCACAAATACTAAAACATACAAGATTCTTACTGCTGCTTCCCCAAGAATTCTAGAAAAGAACTTCCATGGACCTAGTGGAAGTTCGGGCAGTTTAGCTGCAAAATCTGCTGCGTATTTTATTAATACTCTTTGATGTAGTGGGTATGCAGTGCATATACAGCTCTGTCACGTTTTACAGCAAATAAATTGAATGTTTGGCTTGTAGTTTGCATGGTTACCTGCAAAGCACTGAGCAATGTTAGTAGAATGGCAGTGAAACTACTGTGCTTTCCTGAGTTTGGAGGCATTACATTTGTCCTCTTGGGGTAACTTCAAACTGCCGGTCAAACCTGTATGAACTTTCTAATATAGCCTGCTACTTCTCATTTTCAGTGAAATACCAGTTTCTAATCCTAAAAATGCTAAGGGTTTTGTGTAACTTGCACATTGTGAGTAGAGCTAGCATCCACAGTTCTATTTTAAAATGATGTAAAATACTGTTAATTACACTGAAATTTCATAATCTTACAGACTTACTAAATTCACACACTTGCTTTTGTTTTAGGTAATTATGGTGGCAGTGGAAACTACAATGATTTTGGCAATTACAGTGGACAGCAGCAGTCTAACTATGGTCCCATGAAAGGTGGTGGCAGCTTTGGTGGTAGAAGTTCAGGCAGTCCCTATGGTGGTAAATGAAATTCTGTACAGAAAATACTTCTTTTGTTTAATATTACTTGTTATTAATCTTTAAGTTTCAATATGTACCCTGTTTTCTTTGTAGGTGGTTATGGATCTGGAAGTGGAAGTGGGGGCTATGGTGGTAGAAGATTCTAAAAATGCTACCAGAAAAAGGGTAGGTGTAATTCATATTTATGATGATGATGAATAATGTACAACTGTTCACTGAGAGTAATAATTTTCTTATCCTGTATTCAACAGGCTACAGTTCTTAGCAGGAGAGAGAGCGAGGAGTTGTCAGGAAAGCTGCAGGTTACTTTGAGACAGTCGTCCCAAATGCATTAGAGGAACTGTAAAATCTGCCACAGAAGGAACGATGATCCATAGTCAGAAAAGTTACTGCAGCTTAAACAGGAAACCCTTCTTGTTCAGGACTGTCATAGCCACAGTTTGCAAAAAGTGCAGCTATTGATTAATGCAATGTAGTGTCAATTAGATGTACATTCCTGAGGTCTTTATCTGTTGTAGCTTTGTCTTTCTTTTTTCTTTTTATTTTCCCATTACATCAGGTATATTGCCCTGTAAATTGTGGTAGTGGTACCAGGAATAAACAAATTAAGGAATTTTTAACTTTTCAATATTTGTGTAGTTCAGTTTTTCCACATTTAGTACAGAGAACTCTATAACAGAAATAAAATGTAGTTTAGGGTGTTTCCTTGTTAGTTAATAGAGAGGATTAATGCATTTCTCAATTACTATTTTGTATTAATTTAAAGTTAACAATAGAAACACCTATTGATTTACAGTCTTAAAGGGGTCTAGTCTCAGTGTATATATGTAACTGTCATTGATATGAGTTACATAGGCATACAGAGGGAAAACATCTGTATGTTGCATTATAGTTTGTTTAGATGTATAACTAGGATTGAGTTACTCAAATTAGTGTTTGTGAATTATAGAACTAAGCTTTACCTTCAAATGAAAATTTCAAATTACTTTTTGGTTTGTGCATATTTTTTTAATTTGTAGTTCTGTATTAGTACTAGCGCTTCAAGAAAATAAGGCATGATAAATATTTTAACAAGACCAACTTTAGTCACATTCAAGCTGTCTCCCGTCTCCTTTGAGATGTGTAAGGGATAACTGCAGTTGCTCAAGTTCTGGGTGAAGAGAAAAAGAACCTTGCTTTTTACCTTTTTATTTATTGTAATTCCCGAGAAGTTAAGGTGGGGTGGGAATCAAGTGCCTGTTTCCTTGGGATATACAATGACTCTGTTTCAATAAAACGATATTTTGGGGAGGGTGGCTTGGAATTTTCATCCCCTTCCTTTCTCCCCATTTCCCTCTCCCTCACACCAGATTGTACTGTTTCAATTAAACAAGGCGTCATAGTGAGAGTAATAGGTATGTTCCTAAATAACTTAATGGCTATATACTTTCTTGCATGCACCCTAGGCAATTTTCTGGACACATTCTTCTGACTGGGAGCCAAGGGTAGCACAGGTGTAATCACTGACAGTCCCAGGTAATGCGTTCCAAAAGCCCATTTTCAATGGGCTCTCTAAGTAGCATAGTCCTCAAGCTTTTTCCCTTATGAATATCTAAGCTCAGGTAAGAGCCTGAAGATGAAACAAAACATGATCTAGTTGTATTTTACTGACCAGAAACACTTCCCACAACATAGAATGGTACAGTCTTAAGTTTCCATAGACAGAATGATAGTGTTTTACAATTTGATTTGATGCACTGGAGTAGCAAATCTTATCAGCACATATGGCTAGAAATTGTACTTGATTCTCACTTCTGACCTCCAAATTAAGGCACTACAGTCCGTGCTTTTGTCAGCTGATGTGACTTCTCTCAACTATTGCCAGGACAGTGCTTTCTGACAATTCAGAATCAGAAGAGTAGGGACACAGTCAATAGAAGAAATATTCAGACACTTGACAATATGTGATTGATATTGGAATTACTCACACCTGTTTCACTTCTGGGTCAATGTGCAGTATAAGGTAAATGCAATTCCAGTGTAGGAATGAATCTGCAAAGATGTATGAAATGACTCAAGGCATAATCAGTCATATTAATTATGAATTATAATTTTAAGAAGTATTAGAAAAATGAGTGTGTTGTTTGAAAAAATTAAACAATGTTATTTAAACAATGTTATTGGAGTGTATTTAGACTGCAGTACACTAAAACAAGGAACCGCTGTCAAGATGGTAGCCTCCAAACTGGATTTCAAAGTCTGCTTATTCTTTTCTGTGGAGTTTTAAACTATAACTTAAAGCAAGAATTGCTGATTCAGTGAACACTTCTGTTGTTGTACATAATTTGGGATTGGGTTGGGGTGGGGGTGGGGGTGGGGAGGTTGTATGTCAATAAAGGCATTTTTTTAAATGACCCCTTTGGAGTTTGAAAACACATTCAAAACCAAAACACATCTCACTAGGGAGTGAGACACCTAACTACTGACCTGCTCTGTATACTACTACACTTAGAAGATGTGTAGACTTGTAACTGGGGCCTGCATCTGATTGCAGGGACAACTGGAGGTTGGGTTTGATGTCCCTTCTGAAAATTGATCTGGTATTTCTAAAATTTTTTAGAATGTATTGACAGTGTTCTTTTTAACAGGGCCTCTTGTAGCTGTACTGTGACAACAATGTTAACTTTGAAAAATAGTGTCATAATAAACTTTATGAACAAGATCTGTATGCAACCTTTTAAGAGATGGAGTGTGTAAGTGACCGCTTTGTAGGTGGGTGGGGTAGCTTAGCTGTTGTTTGTGATGTGGAAAAAGTGTAAGCTGTGAGGACAGTGATTAACCAGTTTTAAAGAACCTAGGATGTACTTCTTTGATCCATACTTTGCTAAGGAGACTCGTAAGACAGGACTTCAGCAGCCTATTGAGTATGGAGAAGTCAGCATAATTAAAGAATGACAAGGCAGCAGGAGCAACAGCTTCAACTTCCAGAAAAGTGAAGGCATAAGATACTGTGCTGATAGTGAGCAGCTTTCCAAAGGCTAGTTAAATCCGCTTATCACAGCTGAAATGTCGAGAAGAAAGTCTAGGAAGAGTTCTTCACCTTTTGGAACCTCCTTGAGTGATAGCTACTTGAGTTGACTCAAAATCAATAGGTCTAGCATTTAGACCTGAAAGGAAGGGCAATGAGAATAGGTAAGGTTTGCCTTTAAATTTTTCATGAATTAAAAAGAGTACTGGGAGGTTTTTTAACAAGGTAAGAGTAATTTCTTTAATTTTCAGGTTGAATGAGAAGCTGCTGCTTGACAAAATGGGGAATGTCTTGCACATCCTCTTCAATTGAAGGTTTCTGACTGGGTAAGATTTGTAGTGCATAGTAAAACACGTTTAATGCTCATTTCCTTCTTAGGCTTTCCTTTACCAGCCTTTTGATAGTAGGGAAAGCCTTAAGTATAAAGGAAGAAGTATTCCCGTGTATGTCATCCAGTGTTTCTTGTTCTGGATTAGGGGTGTCTGCTGACATAACTGCTGTTCAAGAATTTTCCTTTCCTGGCAGGTACAAAATTGCTGTGTGTCAGAGATCAACAAAAAGGAACGATAAATGTTTTGAAATACATTCTCTTAGTCACCATGAAGAGTGTGCAGTCTGCTTTTGAAAAAAATGTAACAAATGGAAGCCTTACCCAGTGTGACATGAAAAGGTTATGACACTCTTAAGCAGCTCATCACAATTCACAGATTGTATTGATTCCATAAGCATGTTTTGCATTTATTAAAACAGGTTTCCCTCCTGATAAATGAATTTTAGCTTGCCAAATGAGTTTGTATTCAAATGTAAATATCTAGTTCCCATTCAGATGTTTGATGCTTTCAGGGTAGTTTAGTGGAGGCTAATACTGACAAGTGATACCCAGCTGAAAGCACAAGTGTATATGGATGAATGGCAATAAAATAACTTTTCATGGAATCTGCTTTATATGCATATGGGTTCTTAACTCTTGGAATGTGTATTTCCTGTTCTTCTGTATCATAGACTATTACAGGTATGGGGTATTTTCATTCCTTTTGGGATAGTAGTTACCTATTTTAACTTACCAGCATATATTCACATCTGTGCAGTATTCCTGCAAAAATCTGCTTCTATTTTAGTGTTGGTTATGCTTAAGTTACTCAGAAAAAGGTAAATTGAATACATGCATTTCAGTTTAACTTAGGCCTGAGGAAAATTGGCAGACTGACTCCACTAGTGAAACTTGTTACTACTGGCTGGCTGTGAGTATCTAGAAAGCAAACTTCACATTGTAACATGTACAATCAGAAGTTAACTTGAAGTATTTTACAATAGTAATGTGCAATTTCCATATAATTAGGAGCTACTTACTAAACGGAAATCTCACAGACAACCAACTTAAATAAAAATGTTGGCAAGTACTTTTACTTAGCCAAAGTTGAGCTAAAATTCAAACCTGCTGCAGTGAGGTCCCAGTCTCTCCTTTGTGTAGTATACTAGGTAACTTGTTGCTTAGATGACTAGCTTGCTTCCTCACCCAGAGGTGAAATACTTCTTTGCTATGCAGAGGTGCTCTTGTGAACTCATCTAGTCATGTACAGGTAAAAATATGTAACAGGGAAAGGCATTTATGTGGCTAATGCTTACTCAGTTACAGGCAAATGCTTTTTGTACTGCAGGGAAGGAGGAATGTTACTTTTTTTCTTAAAGTAAAGCAAAATTTTCTGGTTTGCATCCCATTATGAGGCCTGTGTGTAAATTTCCTTTACATACTGTGCTCTTGAGGGTTCTTTTTGCACTAAGTGTGTAACTAGATACTCACTTTTAGAGTTACTTTCATGCTAGGCTTTACAGCTCTTACTGATTTATTTGCTTCATTTCAATTATATCATTTTTTTTCTCTCTCAGAAATAAACCTTGTCAAAGATGAATACTTAAGCATTAATTCTTAATACTGAGGAATATTTGGTCAAGTATATCTTTGTCCAAGAGGCACTTCCAAGAGTTAAGAATATTATTTAATGACTAGGTTTTTCTGTAGTAGTTGCTACTGAAAATAGCAGCTGTAAATGGAGATGCGAATAAAATTACAAAGCATTGGTCCTCAGACTAGAGTTCTACATGACCCTATTTAATACCTAGGGCTACTAGGCTGATGCAGATTCGATAAACGTTTTGTTACTAGATAACAAATTAATCATAGTATCTTAACTTGGATATCCTTCAAATATTTTAAGGTGTGGGAAGGGGAATGCTCCTGGTCTTTCAAGTATTGCTTGTGTGATGTACTGACTTGCTGCTGTCTTTGGTTCCTGTATTAACTTTTTTTTAACATTAACTTTTATTCATATACTGTCTATACTGCAATGGAATATTCACTTACATATCAATCTGTGATCTGACAAATGTGTGTATCTTGTGTGGAGCATGAAAGATCTTGAGTATCACTAAAATTCAGATATCTGATGGATGATTCTTTTTCTGCTGTGGGTACTACAGGTTGACATCTCTATCTAAGATTAGCTTTTTCCTCAACTAAAGTAATCCAAGTATCTCCGTAGAAGACAAATGACCTCCATGTAGAAGATAATATCGCAAGATTGGAAACAGAATAACATTTTAATAACTGGCAAAGACTTGAAGAGCAATGGTGCTAGTATGGTGAAATCTTACAACTTGTGGTTAAACAAGTTTAAAAATATGGAATTTAAAAAATTCAATATAGTCCATAATGGATTGGAATTTGTTTAAAACTATTTCACTTTTGTATCAAAATAAAGTGTACATTGTCAAATGACTTAAAATCTAAAATGTGTTGCCATCACCTTTTTTTTGTTTAGTGCTGTGAAGAGCACAAATTGATCTTAAATTGCAACACAGTGGCAGGATCATCTTTCCAACTGGGAACTGCAAGTCAGAAGTTAACCTTGATTCAACCCAGCTCCTGAACTTTAGTTCTAGCCGCTTCACAACTGAATGATTTAATAAAGAAATAAATGGTTTGTACATGTCAGTGTATGAGGGCAGCATCGGGGTGCATTACAACTTACAGGACTTGGCAATGTCACTGGTCTTCCCCAGGTTTGGGAATACATTGTACATTAGTTGTAGTAATAAAATGAAGGCTACAGTTCACAAACTGATATTGTCACGTATACCAAAATGATTAATGTGGAATACTTCTTTAATGATGTTGGATGTTTGGATAAAAGTACAACCAACTTTGTGTTCATATGAAAAGTACTGCTTTCAACTGCATGCATGTTGTTGCAGTCTTGAGTTAAGACTGATTCTTTACCAGGTGGAATTCAAACAAGTCTTCTGCATTAGCAGCAGTTTGGGGATATATATATATATATTTATTGCTCTTTTCATGTTGGTAATGGAGTAAGTATCCCTACATTGTTTTATAAATGTGTGTAGTACAAATACAGCAGCCTCCGCAAAGGCTGCAAGTATGTTTGCTATAGGCTTCTGTGTTAGTGCTAAAATAAATACCAAATTAAAATGGGGGGCAAGGTTTTACCAAGGGCTGGTTTATACCTAATTTGTGATTAGAATATTTATATGGTATGTAAGGAAAACATTTTCTTTACAAGATGAAGACATAGCTTAGTTAATGGCTGTGTGTGTGGAATATTTTCCTTTTTAGGCTGTCAAACGTACCTGTGTGTTAGAGCTGCTGTGTATCACTATTGAAAGATGGTTCAGGGCCATAGCTCAGCATGCTTTTTCCTCAATGCTTATGCTCTAACACGTTAAGAATGACAATTTTAGATTGTCTTACTTTAAATGGCACTGGAATCTCACATTCCTCGTGTTTCAGACAGGCTTGGTAACTGCTAGCAGTTTCTTCCTGCTTTCCTAGGCAGTGTTGAGTGCAAAGCAAACACAGACGCACTTAAACAAGAGCAAGAAAAACACCCCTTACTGCTGCAGTATCTTTGATTTAATCTGGTGACTGGCTGTGCTATCTGGAGCTAATAAAGCTGCTTCATCTATTAAATCTAAATGCTGTTTTGTTTTCAACCATTGGTAGTTAACCATTTGCTCCAAAAAGAGGAGTCTTGTGTTTGGAGTATGTCAAGGACTGTGCAGTGGGATGGACTGACATGCTATTAACAAGGAAGAAGGTTGGTAAAGGTAAGTAGCCTCAAAGTGCCAGTTAGGTCACCGAGATTTCCCTTGTTTTTGCACATGACTGAACTGTCTCAGTGCCCTCACATTACTACAAGAGAAGTCTTGTCTTTCCTGCTTTCTATGTATGGTTGTATGAGCTTGCAATTGTTGCAGTATGTGTAAGGACTGTCTGCTTTGCTCCACCAGTGTAGCCTTCTGGAGAGTTAGTAACCCAACTCGGCATCTAACAAATTACAGTTAGCATGAGATTGGGAATGTGCGGCCATCACTGAGGAGAGGGATGGAAGCCAGTTCTTCCCCTTTTGGTAGCAGTGAGCTGTTATATCAAGTGCCATTTCAGGGAACTGCAGTGTTGCAAAGGTTTGCTAAGTACTGCAGGGAATCTCTGCAGTTGGGTAAGCCTGGAGTGCCTGATTAGAGCAGCCAGGCCTCTCCAAAGCTGCTTTGCTTGGAGACTCAACTGAACGAGAGCATTTTGCCAGTACAGTTATTCAGGGCTTAATAGCTTCTGTTCTGTAGGATGAAAAAAGAGACATACCTGTTGGGATACTCTGTGCTATTCTTTAGCTGTGTTACATGAGATTAAGACTTAGGATAGTGTTTTTCTTCCCTCCAGTTTTGAACTTTCCAGAGGTGCTTTTGAGAATTAGTTATTCTTCCCCTTTTTATAAATAATGCAGAGTGAAACTACCATTGTTTTTGCTCAAGGACTACCCTTCCCACTGCCTGCAGTCACAATGGTAAAGATCATGGATGTAACAAGTGAAATCATTGTTTTCTAGCAGAAGTTTTGACTAACATGATAAAGTACTAACGCAGTTGATGTGTTTGGATTCATCTGCTGCTGTTACAACACCAAAGCAGAATTTAGGTTAGTTTGATAAAATGGCACTACCTGTTTTCATAGCATTAAGTTGAATTTCCAGATTTTTAAAGAATTTGTAAAATAAAGTTTCAAGGAACACAGTTTTTCTTGTATATCTATTGACCCCTTCATGACTCCTGTGTCTGTCGTCTCAGATACATACATTTAGATGCAGGACCTTACTTTAAAAGTCCTGAACTAACACAGTACAAAAAGTTGTGTGAAACTGTTACCTGTGCTCTGGATCTTTAAGGACAGGGTGGACTGGAGCCTCTGACAGCTGCATGCTGAAGTGAGGAGGACTGTCTCCTGGTACTGGCACTATGCCATTACCTTGTCTTTTAAAGAGGACACAGTCAACAGGATCATGGTTCCAGCCATCGCGTAACTACCTTATTGGTAAAGCTGCTGTAACTGATCTGCTTTCCTACTCCTGGCTCTTCTCTGGTTAGCTAAAAGTTGCACTGAAGATGAAGCACAACAGAGACCGTGTGTAGCAGAAAGGCCTCTTAGGCAGAATCTGTAAATGAGAACAGGAAGGTAAATGACCGGGTGACTAATTATTTGTAATAAAAATAAAAGCTGACTATGAAGAGTTACACTGATATTATTGTGACCAACTAGACAAAATACCATGCTCCACCATTCAGTGCATAAAGGGAAAAACAAAACTGGTTATAATATTAATATAATATAATAAATAAAATAAATATTAATAATATAATACATAAAATATAATAATATAATAAATAAAATAAATATTAACATAATATTTGGGCAAGAGGGCTTGGAGTCACTGGATAGAGTTGTATAAAACCAGCAGAGAACAGTAGAAAAAAGGAGAACTTCCATAGCATCCCGTGATACAATAATACTCATCGAAACTAGCTTTCTGTACTAGCCCCCATCCTTCCTCTTTTTTGAAAACTTAAGCCCTTTCAAGTGCATTTGAAGTTGCTCATTTTAAGTTACAGATTAAGTTCAAATGAAAAACAAGGCTGGCTGATTTCAAAAAGCTCTTTAACTTAAAAAAAAATAAAAAATGATCTTCATTTTAAGAAAATGTACATTAGGTCAAGGTTTATTGAATGAAATTTTGCAAAATATTTAAGATATAAAATATACTTAAGATGATACAGAGCACCTGTGGCAGAAAAACATTTCAGAGTAGACGTTCCTTTTAGATGTTTCACAGAAAAGATGAAGATACATTTTTATTGTTCAAATCAATGTGTATTTTAAATTAAAAATTGCACATTTTCTGTATTAAAAAATTCCACAATGATCAACTACAGTGAGTCTATTTGAAGGGTAAAAGAATCAATATTTATTTGACCAATTTTTAATCTTATTTCAATTTCAAACTCCACAACATTTTTTCAATTAACTGAGAACATGTTCCAAATAGTGCAGTTGCCTCAAAGTTAGTATGTCTCTTTGCATGACCTCAAATGTACTAGCAGTGACAAACAATGCTTGCTGATCAGAGATGCATAATGTATTTCTAGAACAATTACTGAAAAACATACAGAATTTTTTAGTTGGAAAAATGCATAATGCTGACAAGGTTTATTTCACAGATTCTAATGACTTCTAATGCCTTTGGAGGAAAGATCTCATCGTGAGCTTTTAGGTAGTGTTCAAAGAGCAAAACAAGTTATGTAAACTTAGCATACACTTGAAACTTAGATTTCACAGTCCTTCCAAACAGGAGTTAAAATTATGATTAAGCACTAACAACAATGACAATGTCGTGTGATACATCTCTGGTTATTAAGCATATTTGCTGCAAGAAGACTTATCCTTGGAAAACAAGTGAGAGTATCTGAATCAGCAAATAATCTACATAAGGGAAATAAATGCATACAAAGTAGAGTGGAAAAAATGTTTAATGAACTGGTAAGACAAACCAAAATCAAACACTTAAGTATCAACTTTTATACTAAATTAAAATCATATTAAATATAAATGCGTAAGAAAAAGGGGAAACACTATTGCATATTTATTTTTTTTAAAAGTGTCAGGAGCCATACTGTTTGTCTTGCAAGAAATTATATTTAGAGGCTAAAATCATTTTATATATATATATATATCAAATCTATAACAAGAGATAGAAACAGTATATAAATATGGTATCTTTAAATATTTACACATATATGGAAACTACTCAAAGTGGTGCTAAAAGGAAGAAATGCCTGTTAAAAAAGTGAGATTACAAATTTTGCATACATACATCTGCATTACACTATTAAACTTGCATCTTCCTTAAACTTAATTTTTAATTTTAGAATCATCATTGCATAGAAATTACTTGAAAAATATTACCTAATTCTGCATTCCACCTCACAGTAAAAGCTATCAGGATAATGGTACAAAAATAGTAACTCGGAGAACACTAGCCAGCTGTGCTGCCCTTCAAAGTTTAGTCTCTGACTTCTTGCTTTTAGGAACAAGAAAGACATTGCCGTCTCTAGTTTGCTGCAGTGAATATTCACTAGGAGAGTAAGATTTTCCATCTTCATCACGTAGCATGCTGAAAACTTCAAGGTATAAGGTGGTTAGTTGCTTTTTCATTTGACGAAGGCTTTTGTCATTCTCCCCTTTTTCTTTAAGCAGCTTCTCTCTCTCATCTTTTAGGTTACTCAAATCTTGCTCCAGTTCCACTATATTTTCCAGTTTTCTTTTACGGCAATTTTGAGCAGCCACTTTATTCTTGCCTCTCCTGCGTATATCTCGAATAAGAGCAAGCTGAGCTTCACTGAACTGCTCCTTAGACATCATTTCATTGAAGTCATCAACAGGGAGA